AACATCGGGGGAAAAAAAAACTTTCTTCGTTATAAGTGGGAAGGGAGAGGAAAAGAATTAATATTAAGATTTTGCTGGAGGAGGCTGCTTGGAATTTATAAGATTAGAGCTAAATTGTAACAAGACTTCTAAAAGATACATTTTAAATTGGAACTTTGCAACTGAACTGTAACTCCAGGAAGAGAAAGGTGGGACAGTTTTTCGTTGCTCTTTAGAGGTGCAGTAGCTTGACACAAAGTTTTGCATAACCCTGCAGTCCTCAACAGTTCATTTAGTGACCAGAGTTATGACACTGAAAAAAATGATTTATGACCATTTTTCACACCTTCAACCATTGCAGTGTCCCCATGGTCTTGTGATCAAAATTCAGATGCTTGACTCATATTTATGACGGATTGCAGTGCCCTGGGCCATGTGATCACCTTTTGCAACCTTCTGTCAAGCAAAGTCAGTGGAGAAGCCTCATTCAGTTAATAACGATCTCATCATGTTAACAACTGCAGTGATTCACTTAACAACAGTGACAAGAAGCGTCATAAAATGGGAGAAAATTCACTTAAATGTCTCACTTAGCCACAGGAATTTTGGGCTCAATTGTGGTCGTAAGTCCATTCCTCACTCCATTCTTGCAGCGGTTTCACTGTGAGGTATCTTACAAGTAGTAGTCAGTCAGTATGGATGGCTTTGAGAGAAGATTGGAGAAATAATGTGACTATCAATGGGCATAATAGCCACATATTTCCTTTAGTACCATATATTTCCTTTTGAAGTATTAAGCTTGTAAAAACCAGTTGCTAAGGTAACAGAAAAGGGCTATTTTGTTTGTATCTTGCCTGTATAAGCATCTGATTGGTCACCCTGGGGGAAAGATGCTGAGTTAGAGAGACTGTTGTCTTCATCCAGCTGAACAAGTCTGAGGTTTCATTTGGTTCAAGAAATATTTATCTAACTAACAAAACCCTGCCAAATCACTTAATTTTTCTCTCACCAGGTTCCCTTTTTCAGTTTAAGCCTTGAATTTCAAATTAAGACGCCTACCTCAGCTGTTAGGCTGAAAAGCAGCATATAGTTGGCTTTACTTCAAGGGTGGCTGCTGGGCCTTCGCAGGGGTTTGGCAGAGGCCCTAGCTAAGATTCTGTGCAGTTTGGAGAACCCCCAAATCCCACTCCTGGCTGGCCCCTCCACCCCTCCCAGGAGTCCCCATGCAGCCTTTTTGGATGCAGATAAGTGCAGGGTGTGCAAGGAGGCTCAGGGAGGGTGAAAAACGGCCCTCCTGGAAATTCAGAAAGGCTGCAAAGGCCGTTTCTAACTTCCAGAGAGCCTCCAGAGCCCGGGGAGGCCATTTTCACCCTCCCACAGGCTCGAGGAAAGCATCCAGAGCCTGGGAAGGACAAAAATCCACCACCACCCCCATTGTGGTGCAGGAGCCCCACTAGGCCATGCCCACCATGGCCATGCCCACCCAGCAACCCTTTGCTAAAATTTTTGAAGCCCACCCCTGTTTTACTTCCATTTCATTAAAGGCCTTTGACACTCAGGACATCTCCATCAACAATCTGTAGATATTGAGGTAGAACCTGCCTTGCCCATCTGCCAAAGTAATGCTTGTCTGGTTGGTGCTTCATCTTCTAAAACAGAAATATCCAAAATAAAATATTTTGAAAAGCATCAACCTTAAATAGGGAAGCCCTTTCTTTCCTTTATGTTGGGCAGGAAAGGTGGATCTGTGACTGAATTCATACAGATAGTCAAGCCATATATAATGGTCCGATTTCCACACAACACTCTGTCATTGTTTACAAGAAAGGTAATCGGAGGCCTATGTGCATGAATATCTAATGTTCACTTGGAGAGTTTTTTTGATGATAAAATCATGTCTCCGTGGCCTACAATCTCTCTCACTTCCGTTACATCTCAAAGGAAGCTGCCGTGAAGGAATTTCTTCAGTTGAACCAACCAACTTCCTTTCCCTTCCCTTCCCTTCCCTTCCCTTCCCTTTCCTTCCTTCCTCCTTCCTTCCTTCCTTCCTTCCTTCCTTCCTTCCTCTATGACCATTCTTTCTAAAGGGGAGCCCAAAGCAATTTGTGCTTAGCTGTAGACAGTACTGAGAAGATGAATCGGTGGCCTGCCTCGGCAGAAAACAGCTTTTTATTTTCCTGAATCAGAACATTATTAAGATAACAGGATACTTGAACTCTTACCATGATGCAAATTTTCAAGCAACTGTCAAATAAAATAAAGTTTTTTTGGGGATAAGTTCGATGTCCAGTCAGTTCATGGAACCTTCCGTGTAGTTTTCTTGACAACAATGTGGGAATAGTTTGCTTATCCTTCTTCAGGGATGTATTTTCAAGTTATCCTGACTATTCTCAACATCCTGGAAGTCTCTTATCAAAGTACTAACTTAGTCAGAAGCACCTTAATTTTAAAATCTAAACAAAGTCAACTGACAGGGGACCACCTGATAGCACTGACACAAAAATGAATCTGAGAAAGTATTATCCATTTTTTTGTTTTTAACCATCTCTCCAAATCCCTGTCATTTCTTTCTGCTCCATTATTAATAAAATGCAGACATGTGTCTCCTGATTTACATTATTATTATTTTACATTTATATTTATAGTTGCATTTAAAGCTTTGCCTGATGAAAGGGGTGATTAGAAGCATTTGGTTATCTCTAGTGAGCTTCCTGTCTTAACCAACAGCTAAACTTCCTTTGGCTGCTCTTAGTTCCTTGAGGTAAGCTAGTTCAGAAAACAGATTCTGCAAGGATTATTGGAATTCTGCTTTATTGTTATAGGATATTATAACTTGGAAGCCTATCAGTTTTCTTCTGCCTCCTCTGATCTCAAACTAAATCAAGGTGTCCTCTTGAGTTTCTTTTTTACCCCTTCCTCCTTCTGAGTTTTTATTTACTTTGCAGTTCTTGTATTCCCCCTTCAAGGCTATGTCCCTATAGGCAGCATGCAGCCCTGGACATCTAGTAATGCAGTCTCACAAGATTGTAAACTTTAATATTGCTATGTGATTTATATACATTAACTATATTACTGATATATATATTTATATGTGGTCCAAGACAATTCTTCACTCAATGCGATCCAGGCAAGCCAAAAAGGTTGGACATCCATGCTATATCCGTTCTCTGAGACATCTCCATTCTCCTCTGCATCAAGCCATAGCCAGATGAAATCCACCCAATAACTCGGTTTCTCTGCCCTCCCGTTGCCTTTGAGCTGAGAGACTTCAGTGCTGTTTCTATTCTGTACCTTCTCCTAATTGTTGCTGTCTATCAGCCATCTATAGTACTGCTCACAGCTGAAATCCTTCATGAGTCAAAGGAAACCAGTGGGTCAGCAATGCTCTCAATGACAAGGAATCCAGGCAGGACCTAAAGATGTTCATCTAGCGATTGCTGATAGCAGCCCGCGGAGGTCTTATGCCTCGCTGAATAAACCATACAAAAGATAAATGAAATTAGCATGAGCAACATGGACCAGTGCTCATTTTGCCTGCAGTTTTGAACGTAGCATGCTTGAAATTTTAACGCCATGTTCTGGAATACCTAGGGGTTTTAAAAAGTTGCTTAGACTGACTTGGCATTCTTTACCCTTCTGGTACACACAGTTGGTGGTCTGATATTAGAATGTCCTCTAGGCCCAAATTATTAGACATGTAAGACATGTAATGGCTTTGCCTATGACCCAGATGGACCCTTGATTTGGTTTGCAGAATCATAGGAGGGGAAAGCAGCAAAATAATAGCAGTAACTGAGGCTTCTGCAAATCTAATATGTTTTACACTAAAAATCTCCAATTTTTGTCACCTGATTTATATCTATGCCCAACAGAATATGGAAGTTGACCATCCCCCATGAAATGCTTATTCTTTATTTGGAACATTTAAGTTATTTCAGAATTGATATACTTACAAAGTTAAAGAAAGGTCATGTCTGCTTATGGAAAAATCTGTACTTCAAAAGAAACTGATTTCCCATTTGTTAGCAGAACCTGTAACTTGGTGGTACTGGGGCATCTGTTTGAGACATTGCTTATGTTTGGTTATGTTAGTGGGGGCTTCTGGGAGAAATTGTAGTGCAGCATCCTCCTGAAGATTCTTAGCCTTCCCTCTCCACTTGTTTAACTTCTTAAAATAGGACTGTCACAGTGCAAATTTCTGGCAGATTTCAGATTTCCTTGGATGAAAGAAACAGACCTACTGCTCTTTGAGAAACATACAAGCCAAAATTCTTGTGGTTAAGCTAAACTAGTGTAGCATTTGAATCCAAGCTGTCCCTATCATCATCATCATCATGCAGTCAGCCAGGTGTTCAGTCTGGGTTTGGCATTTTTGGTTACCTATTGAATCCTTACCAAGGACCTGAGATAGTCAAATCTGGATGTTTGACAGTGTTACAGATATTGTTGTTGTTATTAACTTATTGCTTATTGTTCAAATTGGAACAGCTTTTCTTAAATCTCCACTACTGATTTTAGTCCTAATATATATGGCAAATAGTAACATTAACTAGGGCTGTGTAATACATCAGAGTCAGATCAGAAAAACTGCTGAAGAGCATGTGGAAGTTGGAAAATAACCTGCTGTGAGTTTTTAAGGTAGCTGTGTTTCCTGTAGTTATAGGACAGCTGTGGACAGAATGGTGTGGTCATTGAAAAAGATGCAGTCCCTTTAAAGAGTTGCAAAGAGTTACTATATTCCCACTCCCCTGTGCTTCATTCAAAACACCTTTCTGGAATAAAATTCAAAGCACTACACAATCATCACATAGAAAAGTTTTAATTAATTTAGTTTAGTTTTGACTGAATTCACATAAAACTATTAAATCCAATAAACCCAATTTATATTAGACAGTTTAATTTGCCATATCCTAACTCATTTATTGGTTCACTCAAAACCCAGGAGTGTCCTTTGACTTAAAAACTGTGATCTCTGACCTGTGGATGGAACTTTCTTTTAAAAATGCTGTATTTCTTCACAGAGGCAGAGAAATTTGTCATGTGGTCTGAAAATACCAACGAAAGCCCTCAAGTGAAAGCAACAGCTTTGGTGAGTGATATGATTTTACACATCAGCCTATGCATGTGTTTACACTAATAATTGGTTGCTGTTGATATTCTGTGCGATTATTTTAATTCTGTACTTTAGTCCAAGATAGAATTATGATTGGGACTTTGAACAGGCAAAAATAAGAGAGTGCTTGTGAGTCATGTTTTATATCAAGGGTTCCCAACATCTGGGCCGCGGACCACTACTGGGCCATGGCCTATTTGAAACCAGGCTGAGAGGAAATGGCAAGAGTGCATGCATGAAGCACCGCTCACATGAGTGGACACTTGCACATGAAGTTCCATTCCCACAAATGGAGGGCACATGTACCCTCACACAAGTGGAGCTGTACGTGCCCACATGACCTGCTGCTCACTCACACACACACACACACACACACACAGAGGACCAGGCCACCAAGCTAGAAAGGTTAGGGACCATGGTTTATACAGTCGCTTTCCTCTTTAATCTATCCAAGATGTTCAAGAGATGAGAGAGTTTCAACTGAAACTTCTAAAATGTTATCCATTTTATCACCCAGGCTCAGCAATAAAATGCAGATCTTTAAACACTTAACCTTCAATTAACTCTTTGTTTCACTTGCCCAAAGACTTGCAGATACAACTTGACTAGTCAGTTGGGTTGAGATAGGCAGCTATAGAAATTGAATAAATAATAAATAAATAAATTACCTTTGAATTTTAATGAAGATAGAAACAAAGGCTTAAACACAACTGTTGGCTGGGTTTTTTTTGATAATCTCGGTAGTTTTTATATTTCAATTAGTCTTCTACTATGGTGTTTTACTTGTGACTAAGATCTTTCCATAGTGATGAATCTGCTCTGATATTTTTCTTGTTTAAATTTTTAAAAGTCTTTTTAGTGGTAATTTGGTTACTTGATTCTATTTTTATTCATTCATTTTTCACATTTATTTATTTTTCACCTCCTATTCCCTTCAGAGAGGGATGCTTGTCAGTATACAATAAAATGTTAAAATATATAGAACAGCATATAAGAATTAAAATTTTAAAAAATGTAGAATTTAAAAAGAGGCAATGATGGTTGAACCCTGTACAAAAATTCATTTAAAAAACAGTGGAGGGCTCTCAGAGCTCCAACCAGCCCCACAGCTGTGTGTTCCTCTGGGCTCCCATTCAAGGCTGCAGAGTCATGTTTTACTCCTTTGTGGAAGGCCAGGGGCATAGGGTCCCACTTCACCTCTGAGGGAAGAGTATAACATAAGGCGGGGACAATGGCAGAGGTGGCTCTCTTCCTAGATTCCACTAGTTGGAATTCTTTAATTGATAGATCTGAAACATCCCTTCCCTTCCTGACCAGGTGGGATAGCCCAAGGCCATGAAACAATTTTATTATTAAAACTACTATTTTAACATAGGAACTGTGTCATACAATCTCTTACATTATTATCCTCATTGGGTCTTACTTAAATGCCCCCTGCATCCTGTTTTTCTGTCTTTTGTATATCTATATGAACAGCAAAAGAAGTTGTTGAGATTTTTCTGTAGATAGTGTAAGGAGTCCTCAGCTGTCCAGATGTTGCTGAACAGTGAATAATGGAGAAAATCTACTCTTAGTTTTCTCCATCATTCACAGTGTTGTCTGGATATACTGAGAGTTGGAGATCAGCTACATCTTCCCCCACCTTACCTGTATACTTACCCCTGAAAGAAACTTCCACTGAACTCTGTGATAGCCAAATCTTTAAGTTCTTAAGGCAAAAAATGTCCATGAATAATCTTGGGTTGATAGTCAGAAGGTAACTGGTATCTTTACACTGCATTCTAACAGACTAATAAGCAGATTACCAGGTCCCTCTGCTCTTCTTAAAAGGTCATTGAGTTCTTTCACAATGGCAGTTCACAAAAGGAAGGATTTTAGTTACTATTGCTTAGCTGTTCAATCCCTTCATTATATTTAGATTTGGGCCATTTCGTTTTTAAGCTTTTAGCAATAGTCTAGTTTACATTTCTGGAAGATTGCATGAGCTGCAGTACAAAGGAGAAATGGTTAAATATTTTAATGGTTTAATAACTTCATCTGTTTTGCCTTCTCAGTAACGCTGTATATTAATTTATATTTGGGGCATTGGTTCTTGCCAATACTCAATTTGATTACAAGAAACTAAACTAACTTTATTTGTGTGTTTACTGATGTTTCAGTTCCAATAAAGAAATCAAATCTGTTTCTGTAAAAGATAAGAAGAAATGGGAAAGATACAGATAAAACATTCTTATAGATTATTTCCTGCATTCCAACATATTTCCTCCATTCCAAATACTTTATACATATGTAAGACATATGCTTTAGTCTAGTCTTCTTCAATCTGGCATTCTGAAGTTGTTGGGATTGCAACTATTTAAAATCCTTCAGCAATGGGGGCCCATGGTCTCAAAACATGTGGAAGATATTAAGTTGGTAAAAGTGCTGCAATACATTCATTTTGCAGGGCTGGCAGTTTAGTTTTTTGAATAAAGGGCAGTCACTCACCCCAGTCACTGATCTTCAGGTTTTTTTTAAGTTGAGAGTCCTGTCAAAGTTAGTATAACCATTAGGCATAATTTCAGCCTACATAAACTGTAATGGTGATCCCACTTGCACATTGAATGCTAGATTAGATAAATTCACATTAAAAGGATATGTATTTCCCATGAAGGTTTCAACAGGTTCATTACCAATGAAAGCAAAAGGAATGTATTCTTTTTGTTCTTATAAAAGTTACTTCCCATTAAAAACATAGAAATTGATATTTCATACAGTATTCTCAATCAATCCTACAGTCCTTTGCCTATTTATTTTGTCATTGCCTAAATAAAGAAATAATCATGAGCAGAGATTAAAATAACTGAGGCGCTAGGGCTAAATGCAATTTTTTGAACAGCTGTGGTGTTGCCTCAAACAGTTCAACTGTCCTCAAACTTGCACATTCCTAATATCAAATACATGACTAGGGAGTTACTGTGTTAACTACATCACAGTTTAATTATGTTTAAATATAAACAAAGCAACATCAAATCTGCATTGTTTATGTCTGCAAAGCAATGCTCATTAAGATCTCCAAGAAATTGGAGTTGCATTACATTCTGCATAAGCAAACTGATGATAAGATTTGATTTTTTAAAAATACAACAACCTAAACTTTCCTTATGAATATAAGAACAAAGATATTAAAAATTGTAATGTATAGAAATATTTATTTTCACCAGTGAAGTGTGAGGGCTTGCTTTCTTTTTAAGAAACTGAGTACAAGCTCTTTAAAGAGCCTGGTGATACTGTGGTTAGAATGCAGTATTGCAGGCTAATTCTGCCTACATCATAGAGTTTGAACCTGAGGATGGGGTGGTATATAAGTCCAAGTGCTACGAATAGACTAGAATAGAATACAAGTCAATACAACAGAATACAATACAATACTTTATTTGGCTAAGTGTGATTACACACACAAGGAATTTGTCTATGGTGCATAAACTTCAGTGTACATGCAAAAAAAAAAAACCCAGAGTAATAATAATCATAACAATGATGCCAATAAGAGAAGGTAGTACAAAAGTTGTGAAGGATAATAATTATTGCTATTGCTACAGCACTCTGAGGTGAGAACTGGAGGTTTCTGGAGGACAAACTATTGCTGAGTTAAGGTGAAATGGGCCTAAGTGAAAACTGGGTCTTATTCCATAAGACTGACTTGTTTGCCCAGAACTTTTTTTCCCCTATTTTTTCTGTGTGAATGTAGAAGTGTACCTGGAGAGGTGAGATGTCTCTAGTGGGGAAGGTAGGGGGGATGAAAATGGCCTAAAGCCATTAATCCAGATGATTAATAGTCAGAAATAGCAAGAGATTAAGAGGAGAAGATATCTGAACTATATATTTGCAGTCTATTTTCCTATCTAATCTCCCTTCCCTCAAATATATGACACCAAGGATTTGATCATTGATGAAGAAGCCAACCTATCAGGTTGCCAGGTCAGGATTTCATGGCTTCTTATCAGCCCTGGGTCTGTTTCAAAATGCCATCATACCAATGCATAGGAAAGAAAATACCTTAATTTAGTTTTGCCTCGGGATATAAGAAGGAGGGCCAGATATTGAGAAGAGGTACTATTACCTTGATATCATGGTAGCTCAGCATCTGATGAAACATGGTCTCATAGCATAATCTAACTTCTGCAAGTATGGAGGACCCATTATGATATTTTTTTCTGACAACTTATGAATGCTTGATACTTTGGCACAATTCAAAGACTATTTGTTTATTTAATAAATCGGCCACCTGACTCCCAAACAAGGGAGCTTCTAGTTAAAAGAACAATGTGTAAAGAATACAACTGATTGAAAGAGCAAAATACCAAAACAAAAACAATCAGACCATAACAAAGCAAAACCAAAAGGAGAATGTACAATCACTGTGTCCCCACAGCCTGGGAGATCAACTGCGTCTTCAATAATTTTGCAAGTAATGTAAGAATTGGTAGCCATATAAATTTCTAGAGAAGGATCCTTTCAGAGGGAATAAGGTCCTTGATGAGTTTTGGAATGGGGAAGCAGAACAGCCCATGTCGCAATCACAAGTGCCATTCTAACACTGAAGAGCATGAGCTTCTCTCTGATTTTTGGGAGAACTCCAGGCAATGAAACAAGTCAGGAGACATTAGGAAGTAATAGTTCAAGTCTCACCAGGGAGTTGTCAGTCATATCTATTGTGTGATATGGAGGGCTGATAAGGCGGCTTATTGTATGGCCTCCAGCATGGTTTTTAAGATAGGCAAGGCTTTGCTGTCATCTGCCCTGAAATACCCAGTCCTGAAGTCCTTAAGTTCAAATAGATTTATTTCAAAGATAAAACGTAATTTAAAAAGATTTGTAACAGCACCATTCCCTCAATCAAACAGACAGGTCTTCATAAAAAAGTATTTGAATTCATGCTTAGGGGCCAAGTCTTAAACACTGAAAAATGAGAAGGTTTTCTTTTCTTTTTTAAA